CTTCATGTCGACGGCCGACGGCGGGATCCTGATGCAGACGTTGACCAACACTCGACGGGTCCGTCCGTGAATCTCGCTGCGGACCTTCATGCCTTCGTCCATGCGCTTGGTAACGCCGCCAATCACCAGCTCGACAATGTCGCGACAACGTCACGACAGCGTCATAACAATGTTACAGCAACGTCGTAACAACAACGTCGCGACCACTGTCGCGACAACCGTCGCGACCACCGTCGCGACAACGTCGTAACAATGTCGTAACAACGTCGCGACAGTGTTACAAAAGTGTGACGACGACGTCGCGACAACGTCTTGACAACGTCTTGACGTCTTGACAACGTCTTGACGTCTTGACAACGTCTTGACGTCTTGACAACGTCTTGACGTCTTGACAAAGAGTCGCAATAAAGTCGCGTCCGTTTGCGAGCGTATCCGGACAGCCGTTTTGATAATATATCACAGCTACGTCACGTCACGTTGACAATCTGCCACGTCATCTTGACAACAAAGTTGCTCGTCCTTCCAGAAGCGGTGTGTGTCATACTAGTAGCGCTGAACGAGAATCTTCGGAGGCGATGTTACGACGATGCCGACGCTGTTGAATGCGCAAAACTTTGCAATTTACACTTGCTTTGTTGCTGAGTCCTTCAAAGACGACCGACCAGAGAGACGTGTTGACGTGTCGGGTGACTCCAAGAACCATTGTGGAGCGTGCTTGGCACTGCAGTTTGTCGACGCTAGCGCTATCAGCTACAGCATCGCTCGCGCTCTGTAGCCTTCTCCACCACGGTGCACTACCTTGTCAAAGTGACGCCTCTCTGTAACGCTAATGCCACGAGGGTGAGACTACAAGTACATCGTCTTGCAGAGATGCAGCAGTGGTTTTGACGTTTGGGGACGCAAACCCAAAGCGATAGTTGGCAATAGAGAACGGCGACATAGCTGATCTAATAAGGAAGCGCTGGGTCATCGAGCGATATGATCTGGTGGTCGACCATGGCTGTTGCGTCTTGTTCAGTGCTGAGGTTCTGTCTCTGCGCAGCGATACCTGTCAGCACAAAACAATAATCCTCATTTGAATGGTGGAAGGTATTGAATTCGTGGGATTGAGTTATTCGCTCGTCTTGGTAAAGACAACAGCCCAGTTGGACTCGTCGTAGTATGAGTCGTTGATGGTAGCGTTGCCACTCATGCGAACAAGCCCATCGAGCTCGCCCTAGTTGAGGCATCCAAAATGATCCTACACTGCGCTCGGAAGTGCCTACCTCTGTAAACATGTGGCAGTAGCGCTGGACGACGATCGGCGCTTTGGATGGCGTCGTGTCGTCCTTGGCGAAGCGCTTATCTAGGTTCCACGGCACCATGCAGTCTTGCGTCGTCGCATCAAACGTCCGTCGCGACTCCTACTCGAGAACATTCACAGAACGTTTTTTCGCTCGTATGACCTCGGTTTGTTCTTTAGCCCAAGCGTAAATGACGCCTTGGCCGCCGACACGAAGGACGCGGAGAACCTCCTTGACAGCTTGGAGCCGGTGCTCAAACGTGCTAAGGTGGTGCAACACGGCAATCGAAATGGCCACGTCAAAGACGCCGGACCGCAGCGGCACGAGAAGCGCGTCGAGCACCATCACGTTCAAGTCGTGGGATTTGCAGATCTTGACCAAGCTACTCGATCAACCTAGTGAACTCAAACCTTGGACACTGGACTCGCTACCTCTCACTGCGATCGCCACCGACGCACGCGCTCTGCGTAGGTGTCATGCACTTCATGTACTTGCCATTGCCGCAGCCTACCGTACATCGTCAACATTTCTATGGAGAGGAGGTCGAGATGGACCAATGTCGGCGAGGAGCGTGCCGGGGGCGAGCGAGCGCACAAAGGACTCGATGCGGGGCCAGGGCGAGTGCCGCGTCGCGCTGAAGTGGTCGGCGACCTTCTCGTAGAACTCGTGGACGTAGAGCTTCTCGGTCTCTGTGGGGCACATTTTGGCGTCGGCGTCCAAAGCCGGGGCTTGAAGTCGCGAGTCGCACTGCTCCGGGAACGCACACGCGCACGGTGTCGTTTGCAGCTACGTCATTTCGCGTTAGTGGATTGACAGACTCTGTCCGACCTTGCGAAACGTGATCGAGACGCGCCGGCCGCGCGGCACTTTTTGACCGTCGATGACGTCAAAGAGGCGAGGCTGGACGCAGTGCGTCCACTGGTAGCGAGATGCGCCGTTCATAATGTAGAGCGACCGCGGCGCGAGGAGGAGGCTCTCGACGCGACCATCCGGATGGCGAAAGTCCATGACGCTGCCATGCCCAAGGCTAGGTAGATGATATCCAGTATCATGAGCTGTGGACAAGGCAGACGCGTACACGTCTACCTGAGAGTCGCGATCGAACCGGTGAAGGCCGAGTGGGTGTCGATGTGAGACGCAATGCCTTGCCCAGGGAGGTACTCGTTGGCTACCATTCGTGAGCCTTTCTGGTGCATACATGTAGACTGGCCGTACCAGTGATCTGGTCGGGCGTTCCGTCAAATGTGACTGGCATCTTGTTGATGAGGCTCCGGCAAAACGGCGCCATGTTGGCGAGCGGCGTCGACTCGTCGCACTTTCTACCACGTCGTCGCTCGTGTGAGCAGAGGTCGTCCAAGACGAAAGGCCGTACTGCGTCTTGTAGTTGAACTCGTAACCAAAGTGCTGCACTTGGCGCGCGCGAATTGTGCGGCGCCACTCACCCTTGTCGAGCTCTTCAAGCATGACCGCCTCGTCGGCCTCTGTGATAAAGTCCTTATACACAAGGAGGCCTGGCACAAACTGCGATGGGTCCGCGCCCATGCGCGCTCTCTCGAAGTTTGGCACGCGCTTGAACGAGCACTCTTCTTCGTACGCCTTGCGCAGCATTGCAAACTCCATGTGAAAGGTCTTGCCGCCAATCGCCGCGACGACGACACCGTCCAGAGCGTCCTTGGCTGCGGCCGCGTCGTCAGCGGAGGCGAACTCAACAATCGCCGTCTTGCGCGAGCCCGTGCCCATGATGACTTGCTTGACCGTACCGTATACCGAGAGAAGCTCGACAAGCGTCACGTCCGTGACCACGTGCTTCTTCCCGCGCTTGCTCCACGTCAACGAGAGGAACGGCGTCCGCGTCGCTCTCTGCTGCTGCTGCTGCGTGAGGCCAGAGACCTCGAGGCCAGACGCGACCTCGAGGTCCTCGAGGCCCGACTCGGTCGACGACGACGCCTTGAGAAAGTCCGCAATCGTGAGCGCCATCGTCGTGGCACAAAAAAAGTGACTCGAAATCAAATCCAACCAAACTGCGCCAACGCCGTGATGCCATTGGTTATCTTTTTTCTGTGATTTTGACCAATCCACGAGGCTCTTGGCATCTTGCAAAATAGTGTGTGATAGAAAAGAGCCTTTCATTTTGTAGGCTGTTAAGACCGACATCAAATTGTGTGAGTAAGTCTATTTCCGAACATGTTCAATCAAATTCAAACTTGGACCTGGCAGAGACGAGCAGCATGGTCATGGAAGGCGCTCCCGTCATGTCGTGGGAAGAGGCCAAGGCCATGTGCGAAGGAGTCGGCGACGTCTTCGCGAAGAACGCGGCCAAGGACCGCGACCGCCTCCTCAAGCTTCGGGATACGTTTGGCTCTATCCGCGGGACCTTTGCCCAGCGCCAGGCCGCGGCTCGTCGCACCGTCGAAGGTAGCGTCCCATCTCTCTTCCTGCGTGGATACTACCTCTGTGCGTATATATAGAGGCGCTCGCCGAGATCCTCAGAATAGAGCAACATGAACAAGGTCGCGACAATAGCGCTGAGATGGCCCGGCGCCTCGACGAGCTCGCGCAGTCCAAGGCGCAACTCGAGGCTCAGCTGACCGGACTTCAGCAGAACCAAGTGGCGACGGAGACGCACATTGAAGAGCTCATCTTGCAGTACGAGCAAGCCCAGCGGCGATACATGGACGAGTGCGCGGCGCGCGAGAAGGACGTCCCCCGCCTCCGGTACGCGCCGCTGTCAACTGAGCAACTTTGCTGCATAGCGCTCGTAGGCAAAACATGGCTGTGTACGCGTCCATCACTGGCATCAAGTGGGACTTTTCTAGCGACCGCATCGCAGGCTGTAGGTCTTGACTCCTCCGAATCGTGTCGACGACTTGTGATGTAGGTATTCACATCCCGGAACGCAAGCTGCTCTCGAATTTCGATCTGAGCCCGACGCAGTCGCCGTACGAGACAGCCAACGCGCTCTGGACGATCATCGAGACTGCCCACGAGGCACCTCAGAAATAGTTTATTCGACATCCACATATGCATTTGCACTTCCATGGCGCTCGAGCTCTTCTGGAAGCTCTGGATATCTTTCAGCATACGCAGCTCTTGCAGTGACCACTACAGTACGACCTAGAAAGCAGAGTCACATGCTGGGCGATGGGGCGACGCACATCGCAGTTAGGTCGCATGGAGTCTGGTTGAATGGGAAAGCTGTCGCTGCGTGAGCGTTGAAGCCGTTGTGAACTGCCAACATGACGAAGGTGCCTGTGTACATAAAGCCTTGCGCGAACCAACCAAGGTTAAAGAGGTCGACTCTTCGACGATACCAGTCAGGGAGCCAGATCATCGAACCAGCGCTGCCATCCAAGTTCCCGAAGGCCATCGTCGAAAAACCATCGGATGGAGCGCGAGAGACAAGCAGCGTCGGTCGGAGACGTTGTCGTCCCTTGTAGCTCTGGGACGAGACACCTTTGCGGTCTACAAGACCACGAGCAATGACAATATTGCAATGTCGATCCGATCAGTGTCGCTGCAGATGGATGCACGCGCTTCAACGTTACCGTGCATCCGGATGAGGATCGTCCGGATACGAATGTAGCAACGCCGATTTCGGCAGTTTGGATTTGGATTCAGATGTGGCGCCGGTCGTTGCCCATCGTGTCTAGCGCGCGTCGCCGCTGGCTCTCGACGCACATGAGCCGCAACAAGGGCGTGGCGAAGCTCCCGGGCCTCGACTTGACGCTCGGCGGCTCGCTCAGCGAAGTCTCGGTGACGTACGAGCAGTGGGGCGACCAGACGTTGCCGGACGAGCGCACGATCGTGATCTTCCCGTCCTTCTCGCACTCGTCTCACGTGGCGTCCAACCTCGACGACCCGCGCCCAGGCTGGTGGGAAAACATGGTCGGCCCCGGGAAGGCCATCAACACGTCCGTCTTCCGCGTCATTTGCGCCAGTGTCCTTGGCAGTCCGTACGGGTCGACGTCGCCGCTGTCTATCAACCCGGCGACGGGCACGCACTACCGCGCGTCGTTTCCTCAGATCACGCCTGCAGACATGGTAGCCCCATCTTCATCTCGAATCGTACCTCCTGCATCGAAATGCTAGGCGACCGTGCATCGCATGCTGCTCGATCACCTTGGGGTGCAAAAACCGCATGCCGTTGTCGGTGGCAGCATGGGCGGCATGCAGGTACATAATACGCATCTCAACCACGTAGTCAAATGGTCGCTTTGCCTAGGCGGTTCAATTCGCCTCGCTGTTTCCCGACCGCCTCAAGCGACTCGTCGCGCTCTCGTGCACGTCGCAGACGACGCCGGGGACCGTGGCGTTCCGCCGCGTCCAGCGCCTCGCGATCCTCTCGGACCCTGCGTACAACGTACGAGGCGCTTGCTTGCGATTGCGCAGCTCACGCTATGGCGTGTTAGGACGGCAATTACGAGTTTGGCGTCGGGCTCGCGGGCATGAAGGTCGCGCGAGAGCTTGGCATGACCTGCTATCGGTCGCGCGAAGAATTCGACACGCGCTTTGACTGGCAGCCCAGCGGTCCGCGCCACTTCAAGGAGCTCACGTTTGACGTCGAGTCGTACATGGACTATCAGGTAATAGTCGATCCTTGGACAGTCGGATTTGTTTCAACCGGGACGTAGGCCAACAAGTTTGCGCGCGTGTTCGACCCGAACTGCTACCTCCTCCTTTCCAAGGCCATGGACCTCACCAACCTCGGGCACGGCTACCAAAACTTGGCCGAGGGCGTCGGCCGCATTGCCGCCGAGACCCTCATCATTGGCGTCAAGCAAGATCTGCTCGTGCCCCTCAATGAGCAAAAGACGATCGTAAGCGACGAAGGGCGTGACCTCGAACTCATGCCGCGTAGGTCAACATCCTCGAGTCGTACGAGACGCCGGCGACGCTGTCCGTGATCGACTCCAAGTATGGCCACGACGCCATGTTCCATCCGCAGGTACCATGACCCAACGACGTCATCACCTTCCATCTCTGTTGTAGATGCAAAGCGTCGTCTTTGCGCCCATCATCTCGGACTTTCTCGAGCGCGACCTCCTCACGCTCGAGCACGAGCACCAGCGCTACAGTAGCTTGTAAAGCCGTAATCGGAGTAGTGTCATGGAGACGACGACAATGGAAGGTAGCATCGCGTTATTCAACGCATGGTAGACGTCTAAGAAGAGGGGCTTTAGGCCTTGATTTCACCGCAGTCGTCGATCGTGACTTCCATACTACGAACATTTCAACATGAGCGCTTATCCTGAGAGCGCGAGGTCCGTACCGGGTCGCGCCGCTGGGGCTGCCCGTCGCTTCCATCTTCTCCAAGACATCCAAGCCTTCGACGACCTTGCCAAAGACGACATGGGCCTTGTCGAGCCACGGGCAGTCGACCGTGGTGAGGAAGAACTAAGCAATATGACTCATGACGATCAGCGAACACAGAGTGGTGGCGCGTACCTGCGAGCCGTTGGTGTTGGGACCGGCGTTGGCCATTGAGAGGATACCCGGGCCCTGGTGCTTGAGAAGGAAGGCTTCGTCGGCAAACTTTTCGCCGTAGATGGACTCGCCGCCCGTGCCGTTGCCGGCCGTAAAGTCACCGCCCTGGCACATAAAGTTGGGGATGATGCGGTGGAACTTGGAGCCCTTGTAGTGGAGCGGCTTGCCCGACTTGCCGATGCCGGCCTCGCCCGTGCAGAGCTGGCGGAAGTTCTCGGCCGTCTTGGGGACCTTGTCGGCGCGGAGCTCGATGACGAGGCGGCCGACGGGCTTGCCGCCGGCGCCCACGTCGAAGAAGACCTTGGGGTTGGCGGGCGAGCTGAAGTGGCGGGCGAGGCCGAGCGTGCGACGGGTAGCTTGCATCTTGGGCAACGAATTCGATTCTATTCACTGCCACTCACGTGGGGCCAAGTCCAATCCGGATAAAACGACATCCGGATACACGCCCCAGCCAACTTCAACATCAGCATCGGCGGTCTTGTTGGCTTCAGTTATCGATGTGGGATCTACGACGACGCGCCGGTACCGAGCACGAGGTACGGCGGCAGCGCAGCTTCGTCGATGTCTACGAGCGACCCATCGGCGCGCACGAGCTCAAACGTGGGTGCTAGGACGCTCCCGACGCGCAGAGGCAGCAGCTTGAACCGCAGCGTCGTCGTCGTCTCCGGAGTAATGAGCTGCGACGCCTTGCCGGCGCAAGCCCACGCATTACTGGCCAGTCGCACAAAGCGCGTCTCGTCGCTTGATGGCACGTCAACTTGGAACTCGACGACCTTGCCCTGCACGAGCCACTCACGTTCGTTCAAGCAGGAGACGCGGACCGTCGCGCGCGGCTGCGACGGACGATGGACCGCCGCCGCACCCACGAGATCGACAGGGAAGTCCAGACTCGACGACTGACCATGGAGGACATAGGCCACGCGAACCGCCGCTGACGTGTGCGGCGGGATGCGGGCCCACTCGACGCGCAAGACGAAGCTGAGGCTAAAGGGTGATCCGGGGCGCAGGCGCAAATGACGCTCCATCTGCCGCAGTGGGTTGAAAGCGACCTAAGAAATGAGATTGAGAGGCAGATAGGAGGACGCGTGTGGTACCTCGATCCACGGCAGCGATTCGCTCAACACATTGAGTTCATTGCCGCCGTCAGTCGACACGATGAGCGCAGAGGCGGAAGGGTCGACCTCGATCGGAGCGACGTCGTTGCAGACGAGCGGCACGTGGAGGAAGAGCTGATGGGACCGAGGCACACACGCCATCTCGGCGCGCAGCTGCATCGCATGCCGCACGGCGAATGCGTGGTCGATGGCAGTTGAAGACATGTAGACGAGGGTGCTGTCACTGTGATGGGCGTACGTGTACGAGAGCTCTGCGCAGAGCGTCGCCTGCGAGTCTTGAGGCGACAGACACACGGCAATAGCAATGGCAAAGCTACGCGTCGAGCGAGGCAGCGCCAACGTCAGCTTCCCTGTTGCCGCGCGTTGGCCTTCTACAGGTATCGCTGCGTCGTCGCCATCGTACCGAAGCACATGCCCGTCGAGCGGTATCGTCGTCGGGTCCTTCTCGGTCGACTGGACGAACAGTGCAAGGCTACCAGACTCCAAGACGTCGTCGTTCAACTCGACGCGAAGGGTCCAGCCGACGGTCATTTGAGGCGTGAGCAGCGGCGCCGCCTCGGCGCTGAGCACCAAGGAGCTCGCATACAGTGGCAACACGTCAAAGATGAGCGGCGTGTCCAGATCGAGGCTCAGAAGCTGATTGGCCATGCTGCAGGTCATGAGCGACGCAACGTACGGGCCTGGCGTCAGTGGCGATCCGTCAGAGTGCAGCGTCACACTTGTCACCGCGTTGCCGGCAAGGACAAACGTCTCGCTGGGTAGCACAAAACTCAAGTGTGTAGCTTCGTCCGCCGTCGGCTCCTTGTTCGCCAAACGAAACACCACTGCAATCTTCTCGAGGGGCAGCGGCCGAAGCAGACGATTCCGAATCCGCAGCACCATGGTTGGCTACAGAAGATACTCAGATCTCGCTGGCACAGTATGACGCATACCAGTGCGATCGACGCCGTCGGGAGCACGTGCAGCAGATCGTGCAATGGCACGGTTGTGACGGGCGCCAGCGTATCGAGCCAGAGCGTATGAAGACCCTTGTCGCTCTCTTTGCGCAGCCGATCGATCGACGGCTCGAGCTGTAGCCAGTGCAGACACATGGTGGCGGCCGCCGCAGCGTCCTTGTTGCTTCTGTACACGTCGACGATCGCCGCTATCGACGCCTCCAGCGCGTCGCCCCATTGGTCCAGTTGCAGCTGGTGGACGTGCTTGAGGTACAAACTCGCGGCGCGATCGATCGACGTGGCGCTGGCCACGTCGTAGCGCGCACACTCGGCGCTGAGAAACGCTGCAAAGCGGAGGCGTCCCGCCGTCGCATAGTGCACCGAGGCCCAGTATGTCACTTGGTGCAGCGCCTCGGGTTGCAGGCACAGCGTGTACCAATGGCGGCCCGGGGTCGGCGACGTCGGCGGCAGCCGCTTGCACGCACGACGCGCAAAGTAGAGCAGTTCCCCGAGCGGCGCAGCGATGAGCGTCATCTGGGCTTGGTCGGCTTTGGGCCGCGAGACCTGGTACTGCTCAAACTCACTTTCGCACGAGACGGCGAGGGCGACCGCGGCGCCAATGGCCCATTGCAGCGGCAGTGTCGGAGGCAACGATTTTGTGAGTTGCAACAGCAGCAGAAACTGCGGGAGAAAGAGCAAGCTGCGGGCACACACGGCCACGTAATCGTGGCGCTGGTACAGAATGGCGACTTGGCGGCAAAAGAGATACAAGCGCACGTGCAGCGGCGACGCGGCGTTGACTGCTATCGACATGCGCACGACGACGAGGTCAATCTCAAACTAAAAACACGCAATTCCAAGACCAACGTGGAAGGACGGAGGCGTACGGGCGACGACGAGAAGATGGCGTCCGAGGCTTCCAGCACCGGGAGGTCGTTCAGCGCGGTGTGGTCGAGCGTCATAAAGATGGCCTCGAGCTCGTCGTACTAGAATTACCATGAGCGCAGGAACCGCGAAGACGCACGAGTTACGTGGCGCAGCGCGTCATCGTACAGCGATGTCTGGCTGTACAGCAAGGCGAGACTCTCCTTGACTTGAAAGAACGAACTGAAATCCCAGCCCGAGAGCGATCGCTGCACATTGTATGAGAGATGACGATGATGACGCGGTACCTTGGCGTCGAGGAGGCGCAGCTCTTCTTCGTACTCGCAACAGCGCGTCTCAAACGCCTCCATGATGCATGTTTTGAGTTTGAGGAGGAGCTCGGACCACTGCGCTTCGTGCTGCGGCTGCTGGCCGGGTGCGGCACCGACGACGGTGTTGCCTTCGAGCACCTCGATCTTGCAGAGCCGATCGAGCCGGTCGTTCTTGTCGCCAAAGTCGGCGCGGAGCTTCTCAAAAATCCTGCGGTAGACCTTGGACGAGTCCCGGAACGAGGTGCCAAATGCGCTGAGGCCACGGGACGCGACAGTCGTGGCGGCCGTTGTCGACGACGTGGCTTGCGTCCCGAGCGGCACGTACAAGACGAGCCACTCGTTCTTGAGGAGGTTCATGCGATCGACCCACGCGCTCAAGGCGGGTTTGATCTTGGTCTTGTACGTCGCGAGGTCCTCGCACTTGACGACAAAGAGGAAGACGAGGCCGGTTGGGGGCACACCGGTCGGCATCGCACTTGGCTGCTTGAGCAGCTGCGCCTGCGTGTGCACTTGGTGGAAGTGGATATACAGGCGGTCGATCGTCTTGTTCACTTGAAGGTGGTTCTTCCATGCAATGTTGCGCAGCGGAAGGCGCTCGTCCAGCGACGGCAGCACAAACTGCCAGACGTCGCCATGGTCCTCAAAGTGGACGCTCACGCCTGCAATACGCCGAGGGTACGTGAGACCATCGACGCCATGGCGCACGTACCGCTCATGCCCGCGCTCGACGGGGCGCTCTTGAGCTGCGGCAGCTGCGGGACGCTGCCGTAGAACGACCGATCGCCCATCTCGTGTCAAATCTTCGATGTCATCGCAGCCCGTCCCATATCCGGTCGATACACATTATCCGTACCCTCTGGATCGGAGCGTATCCGGACCCCATGCGATTGGCGCGTTATCCGGATACCGTGCCAGAGGCTTTTGAATTTTCGAACAGGCAGCATGTCGGACATCGCGTCGGTAGCCATGGCGCATGGCGATCTTCCTGACGTGGCAATGATGCGTAGAGCGGCCAAGAAGACGCGAGATGACGTCGCCAACAAGCGCCTAGAGACGCTGGATGCGGGCTTCGAAGAGGCTCTGGCGGTGATCCGCAACGACATCCTCGAGGTGCGCGATGCGGCGGGTGATGGCGATGAGGATGATGAGCTGTGGATTGCGCTCGTAGCTTGAGAAGGCGTTTGTCTTGAAGCAGATCAAGCAGCAGTTCTTTGACGACCTGAGCGCGGTGGGCTCACCGGAGGCCATGGCCGAGTTTGCAGCGAACGCCCAGATCGAGCGCGAGCAGGGCAAGACCATGATGCTGCAGAAAGAAAAGGACTTTGCGGCGGCGCTCGAAGCCCGGAGCGCGCTCAATACGCAGCTCGAGGCCATGCTTGCTGATGTGAATGCTCGCATCCAGTTGCTCACCAAGCGCATTGACGACACGGCGACGCGCGCGGCGCTGAACGAATCTAAGCGTGACGAGTGGAAGGCGCTGCAGCGACTCAACACGCAGAAGAAGACGGTGCTCGAACTCACGTTCAAGCTCCAGATGCCGAAAGATATGTCGTGCGCCGAGTTCGTACAGGCGCAGACCCAAGGCATTCAGGAAGACAACGACCGTGAGCGCATCCTCGAAGACCAAGTGCTGGACCTTTCTGCCCAAACCAAGCAGTCGGAGTTGGCCCTTAACGCGCTTTTGCAAGAGGTATACCCGATCGCATTGAACTGGTTCACCTCATGATACTGCCACCAGTCGGCGCGGCGCACGGAGGACGCACAGCTGCTCGATCGCGTCAACAAACACGAGCACCTCATCGAGATGGCGCGCTGGTGCATTCTAGATAGCGCCACAATACGATCTTATTGGAGCGAGGTAGGTACGAGCAGATGACGGGCTTTGTCCAGAGCATCTCGGGCATCCACGTGCTTCCGAGCGACGGCGACAAAATGCATGTCCGCATCCGCACCTTTACGCTCAGCCTCACGGTTGACGTGACGAACGGCACTGTCCAAGGCGCTACTGTAAGACACGGCGTCTTCGTATGTGATTGATGACGTGACATGCAATAGCTGGCACCGGACACGGTCGACATTGCCGATTTGGTCGACATTGCCGTTGAAGAGAACGACGTGGCGTTGCTCCTGCGCGAAACGCGGCACCGCATCGCGAGCCACGAGAAGCTCGAGGCTGACGTGGCGACGCTGCAGCAGCAGTACGCGAACCCTCTTGGCGCTGGATGACGCGACGGGGTGACGTAGGGGCGTCATGTGCGAACGCACCAGCACCGATCGCGTGCAACTCACCGTGCGGAATACGCTCTACCACGTCGACACGAGCTGCGAATACGGCCATGTACGGTCGACCCATTGGTCTATAATGACGTGACAAATGTCGTTAGGCGAGCGAATGGCTCCACGTGCGCTGGATGAAGCCGAGCGACCCGCGACTTTTGGTATGGCATCTGTTTGTGACTGGCTATGCGACTGTGTATGCGTAGAACGTGATCAACAAGGAAGAGCAGTGTACGACGCTGCCGACGCTGGTCGACCGCCTTTTGCAGCTGCACGCATAATATACGACCTACTGTCTTATAGCGTTTGGGATGTTTAGAGCTCGTTGTTCTTAGTGTTACATGCATCGTCACTCGGCCAACGCGCGATCTTCCAGCACGTCATCGTCGCTGTTCTGGTCCATGACTGGCGCAAGTCGAGTGAGCTCCACGCGAACGAGGCAGTTGCCATCAGCGATGTACAGCGCTCCGTTCCGCTGGCAAATGCGTTCGCCCTCGATGGCGGCCGCCAGCACCGAGTTCATACTTGCGATGGGTGCCAACAACATGTCGCGCAGGTCGAGGCGGTGGAGAAGGCCCGCTGAGGTGAGCAAGAGCATGTCGTCGAGCAGGATCGCGGTTGTCGGGGACGGAGCGAGTGCGCACTGCCACAGCACAGTGCGGCGTTGGAAACAGCGGGCTTCGATGCCGCCGACCGCGCTGTAGAGGACCACCGAGTCTTCGTGCGGTGAGAGGAGGCCCCAGGCGTGGGCGGGCGGCACCTGTGGCAGCTTCCACGCATCCTGCAAGACCGAGCCGTGGCCAGTGTAGATGTGCACGTGGCTCTTTCCTGCCTGAGACGCCCACACGACGACGATGGCGTCGGTGGCTCCGGAGCAATGCAGGAGCTGGCCGCCGACTTGCGGATGGTTTTGCGACGATAAGGTTGAAGGATTTGCTTGGGCGCCAAAGGGCAGAGGCACCCACGTCACGTCCATGGAGGGAAGGGAGAGGAGCACGAGCTGCCCGAGCGTGTTGCCGACCAGCACCGTCGGCGCGTTGCGCAGAAAGGAGAGGACGTCAGTGGAGACATCGGACGTGTACCGTCGCAAAAAGTTCTTGGACCGAGCTGTCTCGAGAGCCCACGGTTGACAGGTGGTGACGCTGCTGCCGTCGCTGCAGAGAACTCGGAGCTGGCCGTTGGGATAGCCCACGACGCATCCAAAGGCCGAGCTCGCGAACGCGGACGGCACTTGTGGCGGCAACGATGCGTGAAAACAGCACTCGCGCAACGTCGTTGCGTCCCAAAGCCGCAGCGTCGAGTCGGCGAGCGTACCAATGTCGCCGGACGGGAGGACGCCGAGGCTCGTGATGGGCGCGGCGAGCGTGAGGTCGAGGAGCTGCCGTGTAAAAGCCGCGGGCTGTACCGACCAGACCGCGCCCGTTCTCGTAATGATGATCCCGTAGTCGTCGGCGTGCGAAGCTGAATGCCACGTCATCGACTGGACGGGCGCGTCGACGCGCAGAAGACTGCTCATGGCGCCACCAATAGGCGGGACGTTGGTGAGCAGCGAGAGACCGTCGCGCTCCATCGCGTCCAGCGCCAGCGTCTCGCCGTCTGCCGCCAACACGAGCTGGTAGAGCCACACGTACGGCGCGTCGGCCGTGGCGACGGCCACCGTCGTGTCGTTGCACCAGGCCAAATGGGCTACTGTGGACCGCTTGTGCGCCTGGAGCGTCGCAGAGCACACGATCGAGGTCGTCGAAGTATTTAAAAAGTGCACTTTGCTCGTCTCAGCGCTCCAGCCCAGAACCAACTCGCAGTGCCGACGGGCCTGCGATGACGCAATGAGCGTCAGGGAGACGTCGGTGCGGATGGGCACAGCAACGATGGCGTGGCCAGTCCACTTCCAGAACTGGACGGGGTGGGCTGTGACGACGTCGACCGTCGTATGGCCGAGCCACTCGATCTGGCAAGGCGCGTCGCTCAATAAAGCTATGGACGCTACAATGGTCTCGGTATCGAGGAGCAAGAGGTCGCCGCCAGCAATGCACCAGACGCGACGTGAGCTTTCAAACGCAACGGACCGGACAGACGCGTCGACGGACGTTGTCGTCATCGTCATGGCGTCATTCAGCGAAACAAACGTCAGCGACGGCGTTGCGTCCCAGTAGACAACAACGTCTTGGGCTGGGCCGAGGGCGAGCCCGAGGACGCGAGATGACGCTTGTCGACACGCGTGTCGGCTTGAGGACGGCGTCTCGATGACGACGCGGGAGCCCACCGCTCGGACGAGCGTTTGGTGCGCTGCCGACCACACGACAGGCGACGTCGCGTCCACGTTGAAGCCACGTACGCGCGTCATGACGGGTCTCCATGGAATGTCAGACAAGACAATCGGACTCGGCGGCAGCTCCGAGATGGACTTGCGCCGTGACGGACGCTGCGTCGGCGTCGGTACGAGCTGTCGCGGCACACCACCGTCCTCGTCTTCGTCTTCGGAGGTGTCGCCGAGGAGCTGGTTGTCGCTCTTGTGGTGCTGCTCAAACAAGGCGGCTTCGTCGATGGACGCCAACGCAGCCTCGGATAGCATGCTGTCCGTGTTGGTCGCGCGCAGGTCGTCCTCATACCCGAGGAAGCGCCAAAGAAGCAGCGCGGCGCTGCCGCCGATCGTCACCACCCACTTGCCGTCTTGTGAGAAGAGAACGCGCTGGAGACCATGGCTCGGACCCGCAAACGACTGCGTCAGGCGGAGCTGCTGCGGGTGCTCGAGCATGAGCGCCTTGAGCGCACCGCCGTCGGCGCGGCCGTGTACAATGTATCGGCCAAACGGACTGTGCGCGAGGTCTCCGACACTGCCGTCGGCAATCGACGCCCACGTCCGGGCTACGTCGCCGGTCGATGGCGCCATGAGGAGCAGCCGCTGCGACGATACGACAAGCACGAGCAGTTGCTGATGCTGGATGAACCCGAGCATTCGCAGTTGCATCGGGGCGCCTTTGCCGTCGCAGTATTGCAGCGACCGCTTGCGCCGCAGCGAGTACATGTCGAGGAGCTCAATGGACCTGCTGTCGGCGCCAGCGATCGCAAGGTACTGCAAGACGACGTCGACGCAGAACCGGCCGTTCGTGATGGGGTATGCGCCATGTACCGAGAGCACGGTGGACGAGTGGTGCTGGTAGCAGCACACTTGCTGGTCCTCGCCGCTCGAGTAGACGCTCTGGAGCCCGTACTGGACATCTAATATCGGACCAACATGCTGGTGGTACGTCTCGAGGATCGTCATGCTCGGAATGTCAAAGATGCGCAGCATGCCCGAGGCAAAGCCGACCGCGATGCGCGCGTCGCTCGGGTGGTGCGCGATGCACGTGCCCACGCTCGCCTCGGTCTTGAACTCGTACGTCTGCAGCCCCGTCGGTACATCCCAGACGCGGATCGTCCGATCGAATGCGATCGACACGAGTGCGTCACTCTTGGGGCTCAACGCGATCGCAGAGATGGCCGCTGTGTGCGCGCGCTGCACAATGCTGTATGCGTGGCTGCTCACGTCAAGGATCCCGACCGTTCCGTTGGCGCACGTCGCTATGGCTTCGAGGCCGTCGCCCGAGAGGTCGACCGAGAGGATCGCAGCTTCGTGGCGCGCCTCGAGGTAAAAGTCGGAGAAGTCCAGCGGCCACACGCGCAGGAAGCCGTCGGCGCCGCCCGAGACACAGAAGCCCGCGTTCACCGCAAGACTGTGGATCGCTGCGTCGTGCAGCTTGTAGACGCACAGCAGCGCCATCGACGCGTAGTCAAGGACCAAGATGGTGCCGTGCGACGACGAGACGTACACGGGCCGACCGGGTGTGCTCGGTAGATCAAACGCAATGTCAGTAAAGAGCGCATCGCGGGCGTACTCGTGCAAGACGACGGGACACCCCGGCAGGTGCCCGGCCTTGACGCGCCAAAAGCGAATGTTTTCGCGGCCGCACGAGACGAGGCGGTCGCTGTCGTACGGCGAGAAGCGCAACGTGGAAATGGGAAAGTCCGACGTTTGTTTGGCGACGACTGGCAGCGTCGATAGCGGTGTCGACGAGGACGTGGCACTCGCAGCGTCGTACACGATGAGCTGCGTGCGGTGCTGCGCGTCCTTGCCGACGACGACGAGCAGTGTGCCGCCGACAGCCAGCGCCACGACGCCGTGCACGTGGCCGCGCAGACACGCGACACAGCGCGACGTGGCCGTAGACCAGAGGCGTAGCGCTGGCGACGGTCCGACTTCGCATGTGATGGCCATGTGCATCGTAGGAGAGAGCACGAGGTGGCGAATGTCTCGGTCGTGCCCGTGCAAGAACGACATGGCCAAGGTGCTTGGACGACGCTCGGCGAGGACGAGCGTGGCGTCGCTGGCGTACAGAAAGGACTTGGAGGCGTGGCACCACAGCGCGCCGCCCGTGCAAGCTTGGGAAAGCCCCACGATGCGATCGAGCGCAAGGACGCGGTCGGGCCACATCAAGTTGGCTTTTGGAAGTATCCGCGGCCCGTACTTGCTCGGCGAGTAGTAGAGCTTGGGGCTTACCGGCGGCGAATTGGGCGCGGCAGATGCGGGCAACGGGCGCTGCAAGCCAGCTCGCTTCAAGATCAAATCGGCCTATGGGAGGATGCCATATATATCTATACATTTTCTATCGTGGACTATACCTTTTGGAGAACTGCGCTGCGATGCGTCTGTAGCTGCGCTTCGTGCTCGAGCTGCGAGAGCGGCAGGGGCGCCGGGGTGCTAGGCTCGCCGTCTTTCAACGGCGCAGGCCTCTTTCGCGGAGAGGACGTCGTTTGCGGCTACCCTCGGTATCGCATGAGAGGCAAGCATTGGCGATGATATACCGATGCTGGTGGCGAGCTGCGAGCGGGCGATGCGAGCATGGCCGGCCGCAGAACGTCCTTGCTCGGTGTGGGTATGTCGATAGCGTCAAGTTGGTTGCTTGGAAGCCAGTGCCAGTCGTACGACAGCTCCCAAGCATGCGACTTGATTAGAGGCAGTTCCATGCCTTTTGGCAGCGTCTACAGCGCTTCAGATGTGGTTTTGCATCGTCGTCGACGACCTCGGGCATGTAGAGAATATCGGACGTGTAGATGCCACGGATGCTCATCGAGCAGCAGAGCTGGACGCTCTATTCCACGAGCGTGTAAGCCCCTGGTGCATGCGAGGGCTCTCCGGTACCTTGAGGTAATCGTAGCCTTCGCGGTTGTAGGCAACGGACGTATGCAGCTCCAAGAGGCGGTGCATGTCCAGCGCGAGCACCGTCCACTTGTCGCCTAGTCTGCGTGTCCATGAGCTCCTCGGGTCTAGCTGCACTAGATGACAACGGAAGAGGTAGGCGAAGGTTCACGCCCATGCTGCGCACGCTCGAGTACATGGTGCTAAGCGAGAGGCGCAGCGCGGACCGTTTCTTCGTCACAATGTCCAAGTGCAGCGTCGCCGACTCGCCCGGCGCACGGTGGAGCTGCAGGTAGATGTAGCGCCCCGTGAGCTGAAGGCTATCGCCCTCGGCGGGCACGGACAGGTGGTTGGACGCAGCGATCTTGCCGCGGATGCGGAAGACCTTTCGCCGGATCGTCTTGTCCATGAGCTCGGCCACGTCGCCGCGCGTCGACGTCGCAAAAGAGCCTGCGCATACGAGCCGGAAGACGTCAGCGAACGGATGCTGCCACACTACGCCATCAATGAGGTCCCTCCGTGGCGCTCGGACTGCGCACCTGGCATCGCTCAAGATCGCACGGATATGATTGGCTGTTTTTCCACCAATGGCATCGCTGCGGGAAGATCGCAAAGATTCCAACATGGTTGCTGGTAAGATGCAGTGGCGCCATTCGGTCGAGCTGCACCGAATAAGTTCTGCAACCAGTTTCGGTCCAGCTGCAGACAGACGACAGACCACCGCAGTGATGTTGGCAGATCGCGTTGCTTGTTGACGGGCGCGCGCCAATCCGCCTCGTCCCCATCTCTACCACGGTCCACCGAGCAACACTCATCCGCAAGACTGCAAAGAAGACGAGGTGGAGGACGCACGCATACAGTCACGTTGGCCACACAAATCACACACAGCGCGCTGCTATCTACAGACTATTCGAGTCGTCTATGTGTCGTACGGGCCGTTGGCGGCGGCGATCTGCTGCTGCGTCATGAGCGTCTTGAGGAGCAGGTCCCGCATGCGAATCTCGGCCTGCGAGTGCGGCGACGTGTGGTAGCCGCCGTTGCCATCGTGCACGGTCGTCGCGTGCGCGCCAGAGGGCGGCAGCGGGTGCGTGGCCGCCGGCGTCTGTGTCTTGGACGCCAGTCGCTCTTCCATGGTCGCCGAGGCGAGCGTCGCGAGGCGCTCCATCGTCGCCGCGCACGTCGACCCGAGCGATGTGCGCTTGCGCGTGTCGGCGACGCAGATGTAGCCGAGGTGCTGCGCGTTGCGACCAAAGATGGGGCATCCGGCGAAGAAGCGGACAACGGGGACGCGGTCAAAGACCGCCATCGTGCTCGTGTCGACACCTGCGTCGAGCACAACGATCGGCGAGATGTCCATGACGCGGTCGATGAAGATTTGAATCTCGCTCTTAAGCGCATGGTTCTCCAAGCCCAGCGTCGACTTGAGCTTCTCGCGGCGCACGCCATCCCCGTCCGTCTCGAGGAGACACACGATCGCGATCGGACAGCTCAGCGTCTCGCACGCGAGGTCGCAAAGGAGCGCAAACATCGACTCGCAAGACGTGCCCGTTGCGATGAGCGGCTCGAACGCGTCGAGCTTACGACGCCACTCGGCGATCTCGGGCTTCTTGGTCTTCTCGTCGGGCCGCGAGAGCGACATGCGGATCGCGTCGCCGCAGAGACCCTTTGTGGAGAAGTTGTCAAAGTTGCTACTGCTGCTGGCGTCGTCGGGCTCGGACGACCGGTGGCTGCGCGTGCTCTGGCTTAGCGCGGACGGGCTCACGCTGAGCTGGCACTCGAGCGGGCCGGACGACGTCGATCTCATTCGCTCCGCATCAAAGTCGGACGACGTGAGCGACGTGACGGACCGAAGCGTCTGCGGCGTCACAGGGCTCGTCTTGGCGCGCACGCAGCACACCTTGCAGAGCCGGACCTTGTTGGCGCCGACGACTGGGAGGTCTACCGCCTTGATGACGCTGCAGTCGGAGCAGATGACTTCACCGCACATGCGACAGTGGTGCTTGCGCCGGAGCGTGTAAAAGTTGCGCATGCAAAGGAGGCAGCTCGTGCGGTCGCTGTCGCGGACCCACGTTGAGTGGTGCGCAAAGTGCATGTAGCTCAGTCGGAGCTCCTCGACCATGTCGCTGAGCCGTCCGAGGCCGAGGAGCACGGCCGCGCCGGCAGACTTGGCGGCCTTGCTCTTGAAGCTGCCGCAGAAGACGACCTCGACCTCGTCCGGCGCGGTCTGGCGCCAAAAGAGGCCGGCGCGCGTCAGCGTCGTGCGCGTGAGGTTGTGCGACTCCTTCATCGAGAGACACCCGACGTTGTTGCCGTCGGTCGATGTGACGCACCACATGTAGAGCGGGGACCGCTCCGGCGTGTTGGGCACGGTCGTCTCGCCGAGGAGGTCGACGACGACGAGGTCCCGCCGCGCGCCCATGCCAATGTCGACGACGCCCCACTTGACGCTAATGACGCTGTTGCTGTCATCAGCATTGTCATTCATGTAGTCCGTCTTCGAATCGTTGTTGTTGGCGGACGGCGTGAGGACATGGAGCACGATCGCGTCGACGTACGCCCGGGGCAGGAACTTTTTCAGAAAGCTCCGGAGACCGTCCGTGGTCGGCTGCGAGACCATGGTCGACAGCTCGGACGGGAGGCACTTGACGACCGTCGCGCAGCGCAGGAAGCGGCACGACACGAGCATGTTGGACGTGTCTTTGCGGTACTGGACACCGTCCTTCTCGGGCGGCACGTAGCGCCAGTTCTCATTGTACGCGGTCTGCACGAGCGACGCCGCGTTCTCCTTGGCGGCGGCGACCAGCGACTTTTGCACGTCCTCGTTGAGCGGCGGGCCGCGGAAGAAAGTCGTGCGCAGCGGAAAGGACTGATCCATGATGTGTCCAGTTGGCAAGTGCTGCGTCCAAGTGCAAAGTCGGGAGCTGCTACACACGCGTCGGGCGAGATGGGCGACGTTCTTGACGGATGCCTGCAAGCGCCGAGGTGGCGAGGGTTACAACCAAGATCGTCGACGAGCTCAAGTCCCACTCTGCCGTCTCATGGGCCGCTACAGTACTTGGCTCGGCGAGCAAAACTGGGTGGCTGACTGGCCATCGCCGTGAACTTGCTGGTGATTATACGCGTCGAACGCTGACGAGCGCAGGCGCGTGGCCACCGCCCACCACTCGGATTCCGACCTCCGGGTGTAAGTTCAGAAAGGGCGACGCGTTCTCTGCTATTTGTGCCACTGCAGCTCCGAGTGGCGACATTCCTTCGTTGCAAGGCACAAGCTCCGAGATCCGCAGTCTCATGCGCGCATGATCGTCTGCGAGGTTGGCTACATGGGCCTGGCTTGGTGGACGGCTCTTAAATTCTGAAATTCGATATACATATTGTGATATCTAATATGGAGATCCAAAATAAATATTGAAGCGCTATTGATAGCGCCCGTTGCAGCATTGCAGCCATGTACAACTGGGCGGACCCGCGCCGGAACTCGTCGATCTCGGTCAAGATGATGTCTCTGGCTGAGAGGATGGCTGGAGCTCCTGCTCATGCTCGCATATCGTACTAGGGAGAAAGCCGAGGCGGCGCGGAAGCAGCGCCTCACCAAGGTCCGGCCCACGGTCTCCAACCACCTGCATCCGGCGGTCGAGAAGAAGCTGCCGAGTAATACGACTCGAGCGACGTCGACAGCTTCATGTTTGCGACTAGAGAAGCACGAGAAACTGACGGCCGCGGAGCTCTACATGGGCACGCTCGGCGAGTCGAACCAGGAGGAGAGGTACGCAGACTCGGCAGGGTTGCACCCATGACGACCGTGGTACAGCCCCTTCTCGGTGCACAACGTTGTGGCCACGGAGAGCTCGTTCCATCCCGAGTCGACGATCGAAGCCTTCCAAGGCCTCAAGAAGGCCAAGCAGCACGGCGACGACGACCCTACGTGGGGCGATGTCAATCCCCATAGCCGTCTGACCAAGTCCCGTGTCAAGAGCGAAGACAAGCTGCCGTCGTTGCACAAGGCGTCGCACCCTCGCGCAAGCAAAGCGCGGCTGCTGGCGACAACTCGGAGCGACCCCGAGATCTCCAACAGCCGCCGGCCCAACCAAGAACCGTCCCTCGACGCCCTGGATATGTACGACGACGAGGATGACGACGTCAATGACGGCGACGACAACGAGGAGGAGGAGCACCCGTATCCTTTTGGCTCGACTTGCGACGTGTCGGTACCAACGCATTCGTTCGGGTAGGTGCATCAAGCCCGCTCCGGTCGTCACGGGCCCCGTGCCCAAGCTGGACTTGAAGCCGCTCTCACGCAAGTCGGAGCGCAAGGACGACATCAAGCCGAAACTGGACAAGAAACTCAAAGCCAAAAAGGCAATTTGACATTCAGAAAGTGCAATCTGACGACAGATATGATGGGCAGGAGGGAACAAGCCTGAAGGCCCGCGGCACATCCCTCGCCCAGCTCAAGGACGAGCACCGCGCGGCTCTCGAATTGCTCAAGGAGCTCGGCGGCGCGTACCCGTCGGACGAGAAGGACGCGCCGCTCTCATCGCGCTTTGGCGCCAAACTGCGCTCGACCGTGCACAGCAGCCGCGATGTCGAGGTACCAGATCCAAACGAGTACGACCTCTTTATTCGGTACGTAGACGGTCAAGGGCGTCCCATCCACATCCTCGTCCGCGCCAAGCACCACTCGGTGGACCGACGACGCGAAGAGCGACGACCGTCACGAGGAGGAGGAGGAGGAGGAAGTGCGACCTCACTGACCACTCGGTGACGACTGACGCGTGCGGTAGGTTCCGGAAACATGTGGCGGCGATGACGCGCCAACGCCTGAGAAAGGGTCCGAGTTTTCGTACGGCAGCGAAGAGTTCGAGACCGACTAATAATGTACACGTCCTTTCTACAATGTATTTGCACCTGCGCTGTCTTAATCCGCAACCGCGTCCATGAGCAGCTTGCGACCGATCTTGGCCATGCGGCTCTTGGCGTTGTCGTGCGCTGGCTACAGCATGCATGCAATCGCTAGACCAGCGACCAACCATAGTAATACCTCGGGCATGCCAGCATGAGCGCGCGTCGCGTGGTGCTTGCGCTGGGGAGCGGGCAGCTGCGATGCGTGGGCCGCATACTCGAGAAAGTCGAGAACGAGCTCGGCGCTGGGCTGGTTGCGGCGGCCCATGAATGGTCGTGCCAAGAGCTACAAGGTGGTGGATTCTGCAGGCGTGATAACGCACGCACCTTCTGCACGTATGCGTCCAAGGCGGCTGTGCATACCGGTAGAGACGACGCCGAGATGCGCTGCGTAAACGAGACGGCCGCGTGCACGGTTGGAAACGCCAGCGACACCATCTCGTCCGCAATGAGAGAGCGTAGGTGCCTAATCGAAGCGTCGTTGAGCGTGTAGCTCTGGATGTCGTACCCATCGAGAGCAACAAAGTCGCTTCGCGTGTGCCACAGCGTCCATGAGCACTTGATCTCTTCGAGGCCATCCGCGCACGGCAGGACGACGGACGCTTCGCAGTGCACCTCATAGATCTACCGGCATTGGAGCTGTGAGTCGTACACCGTCGAGTTGGTGGACAAGAGCGACTTCGTCGGACGTCCCGATCTTGGCGCTGACGACGGTCGCTGAAAGTTGCGTCTCGCTCGACAAAGCAACCGGCAACGAGTCGACCGATGTCGATGATGCGGCGCGAATGCTCGCTTGAACGCAAGCGACCCACGCCGCCGCGTTGGCGCGACTCGCTACGAGGTGGTCGCTCATACCACGGACGCCACCAGCAGCTTCGCACCGTCCGAGCCGCTTGGGACCTCGGCGCACATGTAGTACGCCTACGCCATGCGTGAGGTGGCCTACAAATGCATCCTACCACGTGCGACGACCCGTCGATGACGCGAAAGACAAAGCGGCGCTCGTCGGCAGCGGACGCGACGCCTTCGCCGAGGCTGCCAATGCCGTCACCGAGCGCGACGGTCGCGCCGGTCAGTGCGATTTGACCGCAACGCTTGGCGTCGTGGCGGTGGCTCTACTGCTGAGTGCAGAACGCTCGGGACGATGTTGTACGTACATCGTAGTACGCGAGCGACGCGTCGACGAGGCGGAAGTAGCGTCGTCGCCAGTTCTTGACCACGTGGCCTTGCTTGAGGAGGTACCCTTCCATCCGAGCCAAAGATCGCAGCTCGATCACCGTCCGTGTTTGTATCAATGTATCGAGTTGCGATCTTTCCAATGTAAACGAATTGGACGTGCATAAAATGAAAAACGTTAGTTGACTACTTCTTCGGGCCCAAGCGATCGAGGACCGAGCGCTTCTTCGGACGGTCGTCGTCGTCGCGCGACGGACGCTTGCTGCGGTCCCGCGACGACTGGCGCTCGCGCGATCGACGCTTCTCGTCACGGCCTGAACGCCCGCGCGACCGGCTGCGCGACTTGCGCTTGGACGATTCCTTGCGGTCCGGCAACTTGCGATCCAACGCAGCCTTACGGTCGCCGCTGTCCCGGCGACGGTCCGCGCTTCGGCTCCGACGACGGCTGTCGCTCTCGCGCTTTCGGTCGTCCGCCTTACGGTCTTTGTCACGGTCGTCCGTCTTGCGGTCACGGTCGTCAGTCTTGCGGTCACGGTCGTCCGACTTGCGGTCACGACCGTCCGACTTGCGGTCACGATCGTCCGTCTTGCGGTCTCGGTCCTCGG